CCATAAAAACCTCTATGCAATAGTCTAGCAAATCTGCAAAAATACTCATCATGCATCTCTGGAATGTGGCTGGGGCATTGCATAATCCAAATGGCATCCTCCTATAAGCAAATGTGCCAAATGGACATGTGAATGTTGTCTTCTCTTGGTCCTCTGGAGCTATGCAAATCTGAAAATAACCTGAAAAACCATCTAGAAAACAGTAGTGAGATTTGCCTGCTAATTTCTCTAGCATTTGATCAATAAAAGGTAAAGGGAAGTGATCCTTCCTGGTTGCATCATTTAGCTTCCTGTAGTCGATGCACATCCTCCAGCTATTTTGCACTCTCATAGGAATCAACTCGTTCTTTTCATTCTTTACAACTGTGATCCCGCTCTTCTTTGGCACTACCTGTACTGGACTCACCCACTGGCTATCAGAAATAGGGTAAATGATACCTGCAGAAAGAAGTTTTGTTACCTCCTTTTTGACCACATCAATGATAAGTGGGTTAAGCCTCCTTTGAGGTTGCCTACATGGCTTTGCACCGTCTTCCATTAAGATCCTATGCATGCATATATCTGGACTGATGCCTGGAATGTCAGCTAGTGTCCATCCTATAGCTTTCTTGTGCTTTCTCAGTACCTCTAACAATTTTACCTCTTGGCAAGGATCAGAATCCTTTGCTATAATAATCGGTAATTTCTTACCTTCATCTAAGAATGCATATTTCAAATGTTCTGGTAGATCTTTCAATTCAAGTATAGGTGGCTGCTGAATAGAGGGAACTAGCTTGTCGATAGTTAGCTCATCAACTCCACAAACCTGCATTCCATCAAAAGAAGCAGCAGTATCTTGTTCTAGAATACTAGAATTATCATTATTAATAGAATTACATGACATAGAGTTGATAGCAAAGTCTATAGTTCTTTCAGAGTCAGAAGCAATCATATCAGAGTCACTAGAAGTTTCAATGCCAATATCATGCATGGATTTGAATAACTCAACAATATCATCAGAACCAGAACAGTCAGAAGAATCTTCATAAATAATAGAGTCAGAACAATGTGTATTGCTATCTAAATCAACAATCTCAAGAGAACTAGAAACCATCTCATTGTAAAGCTCATCATATGTATCATCAATTAACATATCAAGCATGCTCACATTAATAACAGAATGATCCTCTATAGGATGTTTCATAGCCTCTAAAAGATTAAATTGAACAACACGTCCTGCAAATTCCATGGAAAGAGTACTATCTTTAACATTAATGATAGTATTAGCTGTCTTAAGAAATGGCCTACCCAAAATCAGTGGTGGTGGCCCATGACTATCATTTTTACCCATATCCAAAATATAAAAATCAGCAGGAAAGACTAAATCTTTTACCTTAACTAGAATGTCTTCAAGCATACCACTAGGATAGGCAAGTCTCCTGTCTGCTAATTGGACAATAATCCCGGCTGGCTTCATCTCACAACCCTGCAAAGAAGAAAATAGAGACTTGGGCATAACATTTATCGCTGCACCAAGATCAATCAAAGCGTTAGAAAATTCTAAATTTCCTATAGTACAGGGTATAGTGAAACTCCCTGGATCTTTGCATTTTAAGGGCATAGGGGGTTGGCACTGCATTCCTTCATGAAATAAAGCTGATACACTTCTTCCTAGATTGACCTTCTCGTTAGCTTTGAATCTTCTCTTGTTCGTGCATAGGTCTTTCAAGAACTTTGCATATTTAGGAATTTGCTTTACTGCCTCCAAAAGGGGAATATTGACTTCAACCTTCTTGAAAACATCAAGCACTTCTTTCTCCAATTCAGCTTCCTTTAACTTTTGCTTTGAGTCTCCCTATTTGGGAATGGAAGGATCTTCCTTGGTTCCTTTTCTTCATTAGCCTCCTCAAGTGTGACTTGTGTTGCTGCAGCCGACTTATTCTTGATAGATGTTGTGGAGGGCTCTGGAAGCTCCTTTCCACTTCTAAGAGTGATAGCACTAACATTACTACAATTAGGATTTACAACTGTTTGAGAAGGCAACTTTCCAGAACCTTGACTCTTCAATTCATTAACGGAGGTGGACAACTGCCCAATTTGATTCTCCAATTTTTGGATTACTGTCTCAGTGCGTTGTTGAAATTGAATGTTATTAGTTGCCATTTGCTTCATTAACTCTTCTAGACTTGGTCCATCATTTTTAGACCCTGAAATAGGAGTAGATTGCCTCATTGGTTGCATAGGCTGTGAATTTTGACCTGTAGCATTATATTGTTGTTGTTGGCTTCCTCCATATCTGAAATTAGGGTGATCTCTCCACCCTGGATTATAAGTGTTAGAGAAAGGATCATATTTTTGGCCCTGTTGCATAGATCTAGTTGGAAAAATCCCAGCACAATTCTCAACTCTATCATCCAACTGTGGGCATTGATCAGTAGTGTGTGTGGCTAAAAAAACAGATGCCACATAGAGGCCCAACTAAGGCAGAAGATGTGGTAGCTTGCTGAGGATTATAAAATTGAGGTTGTGCACACGTCTGTGAGGGATACGCCTGTGGAAAAGTTGGCACTGCTGGTGAATTCATTAATTTTTGTTGTGTTAAGGCAATGTGCCGAACCATGCTAGAGAGCTCCTCCATCTTGTTCTCAAATTTAGGATCATATTGTGGTGTTGGAATCTCATTCACCCCCTTAACTGCTTGGTTAGCTCGTGTCCCAAATTGTTGAGAATTTTGTGCCATCTTAGAAATGAGATTCATGGCATCAGTTGGAGTAAGTTCTACCAAAGCACCACCAGCTGCGGCATCAACAAACCACCTATCTGTTGGTAAGAGACCTTCATAAAAATGTTGAACCAGCTGCTGATCAGGTATTTGATGGTGAGGGCAGCTAGCACATAATTTCTTAAATCTCTCCCAATATTCATGAAATGTCTCCCCAGTCATCTGACGAATCCCACAAATATCCTTTTTAATTGCAGCTGTGCGAGAGGCAGGGAAGAATTTTTCTAAGAATAACTGTGTCATTTGATCCCAAGATGTAATGGCACCTGGTTGCAAGTAATACAACCAATCTTTTGCCACTCCATCCAATGAAAAAGGAAAAGCCCTCAATTTGATTTGCTCTTCTGAAACTCCTTGAGGCTTCATGGTGGAGCACACAATATGAAATTCCTTCAAGTGCCTATTCGGGTCCTCTCCTGTAAGACCATGAAATTTAGGTAGCAAATGTACTAAACCAGATTTCAATTCAAAACTAGCATTTGCATCTAAATTAGGATATTGAATGCATAAATTTTGATAGTGTGCATTAGGAGCAGCCAATTCTTTAATTGTTCTATTACCATTATTATTTTCAGCCATATTTTCCAACTTAACTGTAGAGTCTAAGTCAGATTTAGAATCACTAATAATGCTATCAATCAATTCAGACAAAATTTCAGAGATCACACTATCCCTAATTTTACGGTGCTTTTGATTTTTACGGTTAGTACGACAAGTTCTCTCAATCTCAGAGTTCAAATCAATTAATTTATCTTGTAAAGATCTTGTCATGCACTAATAAACTGGAAAAACAATGAAAAACACCTAAAACAAGTAAAGACAAAAAATAATAATAAATCTTGAAAAAAATAAAAAATACTAGAGAAAAAAAATAAAAAAAAATAAAAATAATGAGAAAGAAGAAAAAAAAACTAATAACCAAACTCAAAAAGTTAACACCTTTGACTCCCCGGCAACGGCGCCAAAATTTTGACACTACTGTCGAATAGCACCAAAATTAACAAAAACTAGATTTTGCAGTAAAGTGCAACCTAGGTCGTCTCCCTAAGAGTCAATAGAGTAACTATTTAAATTATGATTATGAAAAGGTAAATAATGGGGGGGTTTTTTTATGATGAAATTAAAAACTAAATTATAAATAAATAAATAGAGAAAATTCAATTAAGAAAATTACCGACAACAAGCAGCGCAATCAATCACAACCCAATCACCTAAATTTAACCTTCCTCGTCTACAAAATAAATTAATTTTATTCAACTTTATTATTCTGGTTTCATTATAATATTTCTCAAATTATCATTCAAGAATTAAACAAGAAGTTAAGTTATAGATTAATTGAAATCTCCTTTAACCCACAACCTAACAATTGTTTTATAGCCACACCAAAAACAAAGCATGGATAATCACCCAAGCCAAGCCAAATTACTCTTACAATGCTATATCAATCGATTATAGCAATTAAAACCTCAGATAAAATTTATAACTCAAAAATTATGCAATAAAGCTACTCTAATCAGTAATAGTAATTAAAGCATAAAATTTAGAGGTAGAGAGAAGAAGAGAAAATTGGAATAAAGCTAAAATAAAATCTTTCCTGAATATTAAAGACTCTGATTAAAATTTAGGATCATGGTTTGTGATTGATCACACCAAAAAAAAATTAGCTCTCCATAGAATTAAAAATCAAACAACATGAAATGAAAAATTGAGAAGCCATCACCCAAGAAATTGGAAGAAGGAAAGACGAATGGCGATCACTGCTCTGTTTCCCTTCTTTCGTTTTTTTTTTCCCAGATCGTGCTTCCTCTCCGTCCCCCATCTATTCATATATATATATATATATGAAAAGTGGACCCTAATTAAAAATTACACTAAATAATCCAAAATAAATTCAAATAAAATTTTAAAGATTTGATTCTTGATTTGATCTCCAAGCATGCCCATATTCTTCTTATCCAAAATATTCTTCATCAATATCTTTCAAATTGAATCTAGAAAATCTGCACAAATAAAATAAAATTAAATAGCACCTGTGCAAAAATATTAAAGATATTATTTATATTTTAAAATCAAAGATTTAGTTAGTTAAAATTCCAAAACTGAATATTAGCTAATAAAATCAAATAATATCTAATTAAACTCAATTAGCCTTAAATAAATAATTAAAAGTCTAAATTAAAAGAATAAAAATATATAAAATTATCATTTATCAATTATACATTAGGGTCTCTACTTGCTGATGGAGAATTCAAGTACTAACAAGTTTAAACATGCAATATTCCAAGGTTTTTCAAATAACGCAGATGGATGGATCCCTCCACCTAAAGGCTATGTTTGTGTGTGTGTGAATGCTTCCATTCACCAGCAAGGAGATGCCATTTGTGAGGGAGTGTTCCAAAACGAACAGGAAGATTGGATTCTGGGCTTCAGACGTGAATTAGGGAGAGCAATCATCTCAGTTGCTGAACTTCTCGCTATAAGAATAGGATTGGAGATTTGTCACCAACAAAAATTTCAGAAAATCAAACTGTTCTCTGATTCATTAGAAGCCATCAATATGCTTTCTGGGGATTATCATTCTGATTCTTCATTTAATGAAGTAACGGCAATTCATGATCTTATTTATAGCAATTGGGACTTTGTCATAAAACAAACGTCCAGAGAGAATTTGAATTGTGCTAATTACTTAGCTAAGACTGCTTACACTGTTGGAGCGAACACTATTTTACTTTGGAACCGTCCCTTAGGTTGTTTAGACATCTTGTTGTTAGATAAGAGGAATGCTTAATTTCTCTTTGCTTTTGTAATTCAAGCTTTGGCTTGCTTTTGTAACTCAAAATAAAATAATAATAATAATCACAAAGTCATCCTCTCTTTATGAACGATTGTCTCAGCTTTGTTTTACATCGGATTTTCAGCTTCTCAATAAGTGAAAGGATTAAGCTCCACACAATTTCTATTGCTTGCTTTAAACCGATGTTCTTTCAACTGCAAGATAGCTACCAAAGTCAATCTATCATCAACATCTTGGCTTTCAACTCGATAAATTCTCCTCGCTCAAGTTCAAAATCTTTTCCAACCATTGTTAACACTTGACTATTTTGTTAGGTGTTTCTAAAAAAAAATTTGATTTTTAGTTTACATTTTTGTGTCGCTGGGGTGCTGTATGGACTTTAGCTTGATCATTTGGGGGGAAAAAAGTAGCGTATGTTTGCCTGATAGCCAAAAAGACATGCTGGTCAAGATCATTATTCATTAGTACCATGCTTATATATAATATTGAAAAAATCACAATCAAGGACTGACTACTAGAGAAAATTAATGATGTTGTAGAATCAAATGATTTTGATATTACTTTGACAAACCCAAATACTTACCTTTGTTGTGAAAAGACAAAACTACCCTTCATATGTATATTATACACTCTTTTAACAATAACTCTACATTTTAAAAAAAAAAGTCTCATTCATATTTTAATAACAATCAATTCTCTTATCAATAACTCTAAAAAACTAACATGGTGGTGGAGATGAACATGTTGTAATTTGGTAAATAAGTCCCATTTTTATTTTAACAATAATTAATTCCTTCATTAACAACTAGAAAATATTAATTTGGTAGAGAAGTTATTGTAATCTGGTGAATAAGTCTCTATTCAAGGAAAAAAAATAAGTTTCATTTTTTATAACAACAATCAATTTCCCAATCACAATAAAAATTCATCAAGGATAGTTTTGTCTTTTCATAACAAAATTTTTATTATATTAAGGTCATTTGGTCCTGTAACGTAATTAATTATCTCCACTGGTTCTTGATTGTGATTTTTCCTATATTGTTTAAGATCAACTAATATTTTTTTTTCATAACAAGATCAACTAACATTGAAAAAGGAAAATGATTACAAACAAAAGCATAATTAATAACCAAGCCCGATATATGAATTTCAAGCTGAAATATGAACATAGAAAAACAATAGCCTAAAGCAAACATATATATAAAACATGAATAACCGAGCCCGGTATATGAATTCCAAGTAGAAATCTTGTGTGTACTGTAGCCCCTTATAATCAATATTCCTTCGTCTGTAACATTCTTTTTTCTTTTTACATTGAATATTTTTTTTACGGTTTTATCCTTCCTCTCTGAAAAATTAAAAAAAAAAATTTGAATTCCCATCTTACAGCACCGTCTAGACATACACCACGTATCAAGAGCCCTAAGTTTATTTGATACTTAAAGCTTCTGATCATAATTTGACCAAAAAAAAAAAAAGCCGTTATCTCTCCTTAGGGCTTTTTTGCCTCAGCTATGTCTCACCGGGCACCAATATGTAATCAATTTATCAATTAAGAAAATTAAGATTAATTTTATAACTTAATTGTTTTTTACCTGACTTATTTTTTAAATAGTAATGAGTTCAAATATTATAATCATTAAAAGAGTGTAATATAATATAAGCCAAAGAATAAGTTTAGTCGTTTGATTTTATACAATGTTTCATTTTAGTCCATTAACTATATCAAGTGTCTTTTTAATTCTTTAATATTAACACTGTTAGTTTTATCTCAATAAATTTTTACATTAAATTTTAAAATATTAACAAAATATTTTTAAATGTTAACATATTAAATTTAATTTTTTTAAAATAACAATGATTGATACAAAAATTAATTATTTGAAACTAAAGATATTATGATTAAAAAGTTAAAAAGATACTTTACAAAATTAAATGACCAAATCAAAATTTTATATAAGTTAAAATACTAAAAGTATACTTTAACTTATAATATAATATAATCTATGTTTCAATTATCGCTCACCAACTGCTCGATTTAAATCAAAAAAATCTTATATAAAGTTAAAGTGGATTGAGTTGAAGCTAAGCCGCCATTGAATTAGAATTTGAAGACAATTTTCAGAGAAAACCACACAATATAAACTTGATATAAATAAAGGACAAAAAGATTGTTAAAAAACAGAAAAACTACAAATTGGACTATTCAGGAGCTCACTCCATTTTTGAACCTTTACATGTATATTATATGATTCAGTATCATTTTCCTTTGAATGGGTGCAATGAATATCTCAATTATAACTATTGCATGTCATTAATACTTAAAAATTGCCAATATATATATACATATATTTCCTTTTGAAAATTCAAGATCAAAATATCCCTTGCTTATGAAGTCTCCTCCAAGAATTTAAAATTTGATACTTTTGTATTATTATATGACCAAAATTGCTGACAATTGTTTGATTAAATTAATTATTTATTATCGTACTACATGAGATACTTATTAAGTGAATTAACTTAGGAAACTCACGGGATCCAAATTTCATATTTTATCTTTTTTTTTGGTCAGAAGATGTTAATAGCTATAGTGCAAATGCAAATATTTTTAAGCTTATTCATGTTTAGTGTAACCAAGATCTATATATATTTAACAAGATATAAAATTATAAGTTATAATATTATTGATTTATTTTCATTGTGCTATTTTTATGTATAATTATCTTTTATATAAAATGTATATATGCATTTAATATTTTTTATTTAATTATTACACTATCAATTTAACCACTGATCAAACCAATTAAATTACAAAGTCATTATCATTTTGGTTTGATGTCCAATTCAACTTTAAATATCGATATAGGGAAAATATTAAAAGGTCACATATATCAATAATATCAATATGCCATAATTTAATATATTATGAAAATTCTAAATTTTAAACAAATTTATTTTACTCTTTGTTTTGTAAAAAATATTGATTTAATTGTTCAATTTTTAAAATATTATCTTATTTTGATTTAAAAAAAAAAGAAAGAAAGAAATCAAGGAGCAGAGTGGACGATTTGTTTAATATATATTAATAAGTCTACCATCCTTATCAATCGCTAGGCTAGATCGATAAGAACGTGGGATTGATGATAAGACCTATTGTCAATTTGCCATCCTCGAGATAAAATATGTTTGAAATTTAGGATTATTTTAATTTATTTTCTCCCAGAAAACAAAAACGACACACCGTACACTAGACAATGTGCCGTACTTCCGTTCCCGTTGACTTTGAAAGTTGAAACACCATGTGCCTGTGAACGCCACTTGTTTTATTTAATAAAATAATAATAATAATATTATTATTAACAATACCGACAGATTGCCCACTTTGTTTGAAATTTTATTTTATTTGTCATAGCCACCTTTGTTGGAACTTTGATTATTGCGTTATAAAAAACGCGGCCAATCAGCTCATTTGACGGGACTCCAAAAAAAGATTAGAAAAAACAAATAAATAAAAGAACATTTTATAAACATGATGCATATCCACAGAATCACGCAATCATGTTATTGACTTTTAAGAGTAAGAAAAATTAATTTCAGGGGAGCCAATTTTTGTTGCTGAAATTTTTGCTTGTTTTGTGGAATGTAAGAATATTATTCAAGATTTTTTATTTTTGTAGGTGTGAAAGTGATGTTACCCCGAACCCCGTTTATTTGTTTACTACGTGTTCTTAATTAACTTTAATATTAACTATTAACTAATAATTATAAAAGACAGTCGATAAGCTTTCTATGAAGATTATTTCTGAATGTACGACTCATTCGTTGTTAAATTATTTTGCGTGATTTGGATGGGGTTAAATAAAATAAATTACACTACAACTTGTTGGATATTTTGTTAAAATTAAATCTTTTAAAAAGATTGTATATATTTATTTGTATAATCTCACCCACTCGTTTTGCCCTTCTTATCTCTCTTACTTCAAAATTGTTATCTTCGAACTTAAATACAAGTCATAGTTAATCACCTCCATAAGCCATATGCATATGTGAAAAAAGTCCTAAAAAATAGTTTAACTTTTTTACAGTTACCCCAAATTGTAATTATTTTTCACACTGGTCCCTAATAAATGTTTACTTTTTAACATGAATTTAGTCATCCTCAATCTCTTCTCTAATCTCTCTTTCATTAACTAATTGGAGGTAGTTATAAAAGTACCATTTAATTATCCAAACATTTTACAGTATAACTTAAATTTTGAAAGGGAGTATTTCATAAGCTTTTGACTTGAAGAAAAATTAAATCCTTTCTTTAGGAAAACCTATTTTTTAATATTATTTTTTTACGTAATTGATTTTTAATAATATCATTTCAAATATCATATAATTATTAAAAATAGTGTACTGCATAAGTCATGCGCAATATTTACTAAACGATTCAATAACAAAAAGAACATATAAAAAAGAGGCCATATATAAGGATAAAACAACAATATACATCAACATCAATATATTATAATTATATTAATTTGATTTCTTGAGTGATATCTCAGCTAATTAAAATTCAAATTGAAATATACTAGAAAATCAAAGAGAAAAGGCCAGTCAACGTCATGCCTTTCTGGATCGATAGGAACACTGGGAAATGATAGGAGCTATTGGCATCATCGGAGGGAAAAATGCTGAACAATTAGGAATTTTTATACTAGAAAAGAAAACGACATGCCGTACTCGGTCACTCAATATCTTGTGGATTTGAACGAGGATGGAGGTACAGAGAAGGAGGAATTAGTAAGGGATGGCCCTCCTAACTTTTTTAATTTTTTTTAGTAAAATATAAAAATTATATAAATATATTATAACAATTTTGAGACACTTGATGAAATTTTTATTTTAATTTTATAATAATTTTTTATGCATATATAATCCAACCGTTTTAATACGTTAAAGATATAGTTGTTAACTTATTATAGGATTGATTTATTTTCAACAAAATA